GTTGGAATAGTACATTATGAAATTTCAGGGGTGAATGAGTTAATACCCTTTTAAACGATATAATATTCTATAGATGTTTAACTTATTTTTACCCGTTCTGTCGATGTAGAACATGTTCGAGTTGACACTCTCCCAGGCCCTGGGTATGAACACCAAGAAAGATGCTGACTCTGCCGGCTCCTCCAAACTCAACAAGGTAAGTGATGACAACCAACTGTTAGCCTTAATTTCCTGTCACAAAAAGCTTTTTGATGTTAGGTCTATGCTCTTTATAGATTTCATGAATCTGAGGATTTTTTTTCACTTACGTTTCCTATTTCGGCATGCATTGCTGAATTTAATGAAAATTTCCTTAACTGCAGATTTCCTTAACTGGAGCAATGTCAATATTTTCAGATATTTTCTTATCTTCAGTAGTGCTTTCCAGCAGAAAAAGTCAGTGAAATATTTTTAGTCAAAAGGTTGAACGGAAATAATTAAACAAATCAGTTAATGACATTGGTGAACCTGGAACTTAAGGACCTGAGTTGTAGATTTCTTGTTTGTACAAACAAAAATTGTTTGAAGAATAACTATACAGTATAACACATTTGCGCATTAAATGTTTAATATTCCACCAGGTGACGCAGCTCACAGGATTTTCTGACCCGGTATATGCTGAAGCTTATGTTAATGTGAACCAGTTTGACATTGTACTGGACGTACTGGTGGTCAATCAGACCGGGGACACGCTACAGAACCTCACTCTGGAACTGGCCACTCTGGGTATTTACCGGTCACTACTATACCCCTATTAATAATCTGCTGCAGTGCAGTAAGTTTGTGGTCAACTCAGAACTCCTTTAAGCTATGATGTGTTGCTATATCTATTTACATTATAATAGTGTCGTTGGTTTACTAGTACTAGTTAAAGATGCATTATTAAACCTAACATAAGCGTTAAGGTGCCTGGCCGTCTACAATTACGGGGTCGATGCATAAGTGAGGCAGCCGCCAAGTTCTGGCCACATGCTGGTGGTTTTCTTTAGGTACTCTGGATTTCCTTCACCAAAAAACCGCTGGATTGTCCTTTAATGATCATAGCTG